CCAAATTGAGACCATTCTAGTCAACTGGGGATATATGATCATGTTGCTGATCATGACACTTGTCAAAATATTTTAAAATCACCTGCTGATTTGTCTCTCCACAGAACTAGACTCTAGAAAACTTTCTGAAGTTTTGGCCTATGCTCTGCCCACTGTTGTGTTCTTCTCTGGTATCTAGCATAGAGCCTGGTACAAACAGATGCTTCAGTATTTGGTTGGATGAATAAATATGCTTTGGTGTATATCATTATTACTGAAAAATAACTTATTATGCATCATAAGAAGGGGAAGAAGACATTATAACTTTTAACCATGAAACTCATTGGCTAAGGAGAAGATGAACAATATTTTATTGTTCGCAATCTCCCTGGTCATTCAAGAGCTAAATCATTTTGACCTCCTGTTCACTGGGACCAGGTGAATCTTCTCTTGCAATGTCTCCTATTGGACAAATAGACCTTCTAACAGGTCTTTGCCTAGAACATCACCAACACGCAGAAACTGTCACTAAGAAAAATAAATTGTTCTTATATCATCTAGATTTCCAGATTTCCACTAAATCCTATGTACTGTTTACTCCCAAGTATTTAAACATTGAAATTCACAGTCTTTCACTTGAAACTACCCTTGCTCAATTTGTTCCCAAGATTCCATTATTTTTTTTTTCAATTACGCTAAACTGGTAACTGCACAACCAACTATCTATTTCTCAGGCTTTTCCAGCTGTAACAATTTGATCCCTCCACTATCCCGAACAGCCTTCNCAATATTTTATTGTTCGCAATCTCCCTGGTCATTCAAGAGCTAAATCATTTTGACCTCCTGCTCACTGGGACCAGGTGAATCTTCTCTTGCAATGTCTCCTATTGGACAAATAGACCTTCTAACAGGTCTTTGCCTAGAACATCACCAACATGCAGAAACTGTCACTAAGAAAAATAAATGTTCTTATATCATCTAGATTTCCAGGTTTCCACTAAATCCTATGTACTGTTTACTCCCAAGTATTTAAACACTGAAATTCACAGTCTTTCACTTGAAACTACCCTTCCTCAATTTGTTCCCAAGATTCCATTTTTTTTTTTTCAATTACACTAAACTGGTAACTGCACAACCAACTACCTATTTCTCAGGCTTTTCCAGCTGTAACAATTTGATCCCTCCACTATCCCGAACAGCCTTCCCTTTTCTAACCACAGACCTAAGTGTGACATGCTCTTTAAAGCTCAGTCTGTGAAAAAGTCCTCTGAAAAGACAACCTTTGACAGAAGGAATCTATCCCTTCTCTGAGCTCGCATAGCATATTCGATGCTACCCTTGTACTATGAACTTGCTTTTCAAATGTATGCCTTGTTTCCTTAAGTAAATTAGTCTAAATCTCTTGAGCATAAGAATACCTTTATTATTTTTGTATCCCTCTCGCATCTACCCTGTATTAAGGATTCAACGAAGATTTAACTCATTTAAGAACAGAACTGAGGCCACCAGAGATGGGAAAGGGTAAAGGAGAAGGGAGAGGAGAGTTAGCAAGAAATTGGTAAATGGCCACAAAAAATAGTTACATTGTGTAATGCTGAATATGCTAATTACCCTGATTTGAGCATCACACATTGCATACAGGTATTGATATTCAACATGGTACCCCACAGATATGTATAATCAATTATGTTTAAATAAAAACAAGACAAATCATTTTTGTTCTTCAATCCTATGACTCTAAGGAAACATGAATGATAATCACCCTCACCCCCCAAAAACCACACACCCAAAACAGTGTAAAGCAGTACAGGGCAGTGATTAGGAGAGATGTTCTGGAGCTGTCATCCCTCCTTGGCTTGAAATCTCTACTCTACCACTTACTAGATCTTGGACAAGGTCATTTAATCTCTCAGTCCATGATTGCTGCACATGTAAAGTCAGATTAATAATAATATTTATCTCACAAGATTGTTGTGAGGTTTCATGAGTCAAAACACGTAATGTGCTTAAAACAGTGCCTGGTACATCACACACACTGTTTAGAGTTTAGATAGCATTAAGTCCTGTTCTATGGCATAACACAGCAGGTCACACTAAGCCAAGTTACTGGAACATCAGAGAAAGAAGGCGACATAAAAGGGCTGCGTCACTCCTACTAACACTTGAAGCCACTTGATGACTCAGATCATGTGTCCTGAGAAGCAAGCACTCTAGGCCTGTCCAATCGCCGACAGGGCTCTCAGCAAGATCAGCAGCAAGAAGGTTTACAGCGCCCAGTGGTCCTTTTAAAGAGCTCCTGTCACCTTCGGCGAACCTTGCAAGCCATTCATTCAGAAAGG